GCATACTCAGCAACATAGAAACCCTGCTCTGATGTTGATAACTGCCTATATGTTTTGTATGTTTTATTAAAACATGGCCACATATTCTTGCGTATGTATTAGCTATGGTCACTCTTATATATTAGCTATGGTTTTCTTTCATAAGAAAATGTTTGTCAGAATCTGATTTTTAATTTTATCATTTCATTTCTAATTTATAATGTGTCACATTAAACATCCAAGTCTGATTGTATTATCTTCCTAAGTCCCAGGAAGACTAAAGATTTTTTAACTTTATATTTATATTTATATTTTTTATGCACCCCTAATCCCACTAATCTTATTGTCCCTTGCAATCCACTCTCTACCGTTGTAACTTCCCCCTCCAACAAAACAAAACAAAGCAATAACAACAAAGAAATAAAAGCCTCATCTTGTTGTGAAAGCTGTAGTATGCCATAGAATGTTACACAGTGTACCCTTTTGTCCATACTACACTTGCAAAAAAAAAAAAAAAAAGAAATGTCTCCACTTGCAGACTTTCATTGCAATGAGTCACTGGTCTGGTTCAAAGCCTCTTTCTTCTGCTATACCATCAATACTAGTTCCTCACCAAGACTTCTCTCAGTGGCCCTGTGTCATGGAGGTTCTGCAGCTTTGGTATGATAGGACCAGCCCTTTCATGTACTTCAGCAGTTCATAAATGGGCTAGATGTTAGGTTGGGCTAATTCAAAGCTCTGGATCAAGATCTGGGTGGTAGCTGGTTGGTCACTATGCCAGCTACCTCACACCCACACCACCAGGGTGAGCTCTCCATCACTGCTTCAGCTAGCTCACCCAATGCCACAGCCAGCAAGGGGGCCAGTTCACCAGTACCTTTGCCACTAAGGATCAGGTCTACTGTGCTACCCAGGTGAAGTGAAGGGCCCATTTTTTGAGTGCTATATCCTACAGGTGAGGAGAAGGCCATCTCTCCTGCCTGCTGCAGGTGGTGAGGGGTTCTGGTGGGAAGAAGGCACCTATCTCCCTCCCAAGCTATAGCATGGCAATTGAGAGGCAGGGTTGGCTCTTCAGTGCCCACACCCTGGGGGCTGGCTCACCCAAGTCCCTGTCACCAGAGCCAGCCCTACTGTGCTACCCAGGCATGGTGCAGAACCTAATTTTCCTGGGTGCTCCAGCCAGCAAGGGATGGAGCCAGCTATCCCAAGCTGAAAGCCGGCATACAGGCACTAAGAGCAACAATTAATAAACAGGACCTCATGAAACTGAAAAGCTTCTGTATGGCAAAGGACACCATCAATCCATCAAAACAGCACACTACAGAATGGAAAAAGACTTTAGCAACTACATAGCTGATGGAGGGTTAATATTCAAAATATAAAAAGAACTAAAAACCGGACATCAAGAAAACAAGTAACCCAATGAAAATGGAGTACAGATCTAAACTGAGAATTCTCAATAAAGGAAATTCAAATGGCTGAGAAGCACTTAAAATAATTTTGTATATCCTTACTCACCAGGGAAATGCAAATCAAAATTGCTTTAAGATTTCAACTCACCATAGCCAGAATAGTAACAGAATTAAACAAATGATAGCACATGCCGGAGAGAATGTGGAGTAAGAGGAGGACTCATCAATGCCTGGTGGGGGTGCAAATGTGCACAGTCACTATAAAATCAGTGAGGTGGTCCTTCAGGAAGCAGGAAATAGATCTATCTCAAGATCCAGCTGTACCACTCTTGGGCATATACCTAAAGTGCATGTACTATACAGTGTACTCCAGAGACACTTAGTAAACCATGTTCTTCACTGCTCTAGTAATAGCCAGAATTTGAAACATTCTAGATGTCTGTTGATGGATGATTGAATAAAGAAAATGTAGTACCATTTACACCATGGAATAATATTCAAGTATAAAAGACAGATATACAAACAGGAAGGAAGGAAGGAGGGAAGGAAGAGAGGAAGGGATGGAGGGAGGGTAGGGGGAGGGAGAGTAAAAGAGAAATCATGAAATTTGTAGGTAAATGGACAGACCTAGAAAAAAATTTTAAATGAGGCAGTCCAGACTCCAAAGATCAATATAATATGTATCCATTTATATGTAGATGTTAGCTAATAAGTCTTTGTAAAGCAGGTTGCAAATTATATAACTAGAGAGGTTAGGTGTAGAGTAAAGGACTGGTGAAAGGATGGACCGATCCTCCTAGGAAGGAGAAAGAAAATAAATATCTATGGATGAGTATGTAGGGAGCAAGAATAGAAGGATCAAAAGAGAAGGAGAGGCAAGGGAAGGAAAATGAAGAGGGACAGTTAAAACTAATGGTGCTTTGAGGGGTCAGAAATACAGTAGAAACCAGATATAGTAGAAGCTTCCTAAAATATATACATATATGAAGGAAATATAAAGGAATTCATCAAATAATGTGGAAGATGGAACCACAGCTGGACATTGCTCATCACCAAATGAAGCTTCTACTGCCTGAATGAATTACATTATAATCTAGCTGTTGGCCAAAGTTGCCTCGGTAAAATGCCCAAATAACCCAGGCTATTAAATGTCAACCCTATTGGTTACTCTCCCCAAAATGACAGCAAGACCCTATTGTTGAAGACAAATCTGCATATCTCATTGAACGTAGAGCAATCAAGCTGGTACATACTTAAAGCCTTCACCACTACAGACTACTATTCATCATATTGGAAGTTACTCTGAATGCTCACAAAGGAGACTGCTAAACTCCAACCCAGCTACAGCTACAATGATGGGCCTGTCTGCAGGATGAGCTAATGCAATAGGGGCACAAAGCTTGTGGGAGGAACCAACCAATATTAGATTTAAGGCCCTCTCCATGAGATGGAACACATCCTTGAAACTGCTTGGGTGGCCAAGAACTAGAAAGAACAGGAACCTAGGAGAAAACCAAATGCTATCAGATCCTTTTCTCCTTTTGTTTGTTTTATCTTTTAATTTTTTATTGTTTTCTTTTTTATTGGTTATTTTATTTATTTACATTTCAAATGTTATCCCCTTACCCGGTTTCCCCTCCCTCAAATTCCCTATTCTATTCCCCCTATCCCCTGCTTCTATGAGGTTGTTCCCCACCCACCCACACACTCCCGCCTCACCTTGCTAGCATCCCCCTACACTTGGGCCTCGAGCCTTCACAGGACCAAGGGTCTCCCCGCCCATTGATGCTACATATGCAGCTGGAGCCATGGGTCCCTCCATGTGTACTCTTTGGTTGTTGTTTTAGTCCCTGGGAGCTTTAGGGGGTCTGGTTGGTTGATATTGTTGTTCTTCCTATAGGGTTGCAAACCCCATCAGCTCCCTCAATCCTCTCTCTAATTCCTCTGTCTGGGGATCCCATGCTCAGTCCAATGGGGAATAACCACTTAATTGTAAAATTTCTAAGGTGGAGCTAGGCTTGGTAACTCACGTCTGTAATGTTAGCACTTGGAGATGAATTCAGGAAGATGATCATGAGTTTGACAGTAGTACAGGCAGTGACAGTAGTGGGTTCCATGCCAGTCTGGGCTGCAGTGTACACTGTATGATGTTTCTAAAATTATTTAATGTATTGTAATTATAGTATAATTATATCATATCCGCCCTTCTTTTTCATCTATCCAAACACTCCCATATACCCCTTTTTGCTCTCTTTCAAATTCTTGCCTCTTCTTTCAGTATTTACTGTTATGTACATAAATTTTAGTATATATGTATGTATTCTATGTATATACATATGTACACACACACACACACACATACACCCTACTCAGTCTCTACAATGTTATATGAATGTGTGTTTTCATGACTGACATTTGCTTTTGGATAAGCACTTGGTGTGTGCTTCCCCAGGGAAAACTATTTCTCCTCTCTCAGCTCTCCTCCATTGCAGTAGTTCTCAGCTTGTGTAGGGTTGAGGCTTTGTGTGTTTTCCTCATCCACTTCAGCATCTTTATTGCTGTTGTCCTTGTTTGGTTTTTGTTTAGGCTGTCATGCTGGCATGACTTTCATGGAGACCATTACAGAACACCACAGCCAATCAAAATGTAGAGCTGTGTAGCCAAGTCCCAAAGTATGCTACAACTCCCAGACCTGTTCAGACAGGGCTTGGGGGACATAAGAACCAGGGAGTTTTCTTTGTGATTGCATCTCCAAATATATACTTTCTAAAGATAAAACTTGTGAATGCATTCTCTTGTATAATATCCACGATGTGTTTAGGAAACTAGCTTCTAAGTAATAGGTACACAAACACATTTTTATGGTTGATTGGTTCTTAGCAATTTACTATTTGATCATTATTTTCATATTATATAAATTTGTCTATGACCATTATATGTATCAGCTAATGAGATAAACATAGGAAAATTAAGTTATTCTAGAATGTTTAGAATATATTTAGTAGGATTTAAAGCCTTAGAGTTAAAGTCCTCGTAGTTATGTATTTAGATCTCTCTCTGTTCTAGAAATAAAATGTCTATAGAGCATACTGTTGGAAAGCATATATTTCTTTAAATGACTTCAATAGAAAACACCTATTACTATTTTCTCCAAATTTTCAGTTTACTACTTAAAATCTCGTAAACCAAATGACTTAATATATAGATATGTAATATAAATACTTTCAGGTACATAGAAGACTGTAACTTAAATATTTTAGTATTATATTGTTTTATCAAAATCCACCATAATGTTTTCTTGTATAATTTGAATATATTAAAGTAGATCTTACTATCTCATCTATACCTGGATGGTTTCCCTTCAAAGTACACATATTTTAATAAGTTGTTTCCAAAGATTACATTTGCAGTTAAGCTTAGCAGTAATTTACTAATAGTTTTAATACTAATTTATTCTCTAATTTAAATATTCAATAGAGTTCTTTTGTTATTTCTATGAATGTTCTCTAACCATCCTATTCTTATGCCATGTTTGTAAGCATATAATTTAACTGATTACTGTTATAATCACTGAGTAGAATATGCAGTATGTATCTGTTTTCTTTATAGGAAAATGGATCTCCTGAAGAGCATGCAGTCTATGTGTGGGACCATTTCATAGCCCAGGCTGCTGCTGAGAATGTTTTCTTTGTTGCTCATAGCTATGGAGGACTTGCTTTTGTTGAACTGGTAAGTGCAACTTTATTTAACTTTTTAAAAATGTGTGTATGTACCTCCCTGTATTTATATATACATGAGCGTGCCAGTGCCTACATGGCCACAAAAGTGTTAAGGATTCCTCTGGAACTGGAGTTACTGGCCACGTGATCCACATGATGTGGGTACTGTGAACTGAACCAGTATCCTCTGCAGGAACAGAAAATGTTCTCAGTCCGAAATATTGAACCATCTCTTCAGCCTGTAATTTTTTAAATTCTCAGCCTCAGCCTCCTTACAAGTTTTGTTGTTGTTGTTTTGTTTTGATTTGATTCAGGGGTCATAGGCTGTTTTGTTTTTGTTTTGAGACAGTTTCACTAGGCAGCCCTGGATGGCCTGGAACTTGCTCTCTAGACCAGGCTAGCATTGAACTTACAGAAATCTGCCTGCCTCTGCCTCGAGAGTGCTAGGATTAAAGGCTCATGCCACTACTCCCAGCATGTCATACCATCTATTCCTTTTTTTCCTCCTGATATTATTTAAAGATATTTCAAACATTGTAAGAGCCAGAGTTGGCAGATGGGTGAATGACTCCAAGAAAACCACATCTTCCAAGCACAATAGGACTGATGGGCAGCACATGCACGGTTTCAAACCAGACCAAGTTCCAGCACTGAGAAAGAAGAGATACAGACACAAGTCCCAACCCTTACCAAGAAGCTGTTTGCAACTGCTACCTGCTGGGAGAGGGAAAATTAGTCTTTCCTAATAGAGTGACACTGGGTTATCAGCCACACCCCAGGCAGGCCAGGACCAATTATAGTTGTCCAACACAATGAGTATATCAGCCACACTCCAGGCAGGCCTAGGACCAGTTGTCCAACACAAAATGGACTCCTTTATGTGCTTTGGGGGGATGGCTTTTTTTGTTTCATTTTGTCTTGGTATTTATGTCTCAATAGATTTTTTTGTTACCTTGTTTGTTTTTACTTTCATTTCTGTTTTGCTTTCTTTCTTATTTTTGAGAGTGTAAAAGAACTTGAAGTTGAATGTGTAATAAGTCAGCGGGACCAGGGAGGAGGAGGTAGGGAGAAGATATGATCAATATATTGGCCATGTTTTTCAATTTAAAATTTAAAATGTAATAAAATATGTCCAGTATATGCTTGTATGATTTCTGAAAAAAGTTTACTAATCTCTTTGAGTGCAACAGAGCCTTATATTGTTAATCAGAAGTGGGGTTTGCCTGTTTCTTCTTTACATATTATTTTTAAATTTTAATATTATCATGTCAGCTTCTATACATTTCAGATGTACATTTCTGTTCTATTTGTAAACAATTAATATATTGTTATCTGTGAAGAAGCTAACACTTCCTATCTGTTTTAATATTTGGTATCATTTTAGTAATTTTTAGTTGACTTTAATGTGTATTGTTTAGTATTTAGTACTTACCAGTTTATATGATAAGCATTAAAATTTTTAGAAAAGTTCCACTAATTTACTTTGCTTGGTCACAGAAATTTTGCTTTTGTTAGTATTCTGATTTTTAAGAGTTAAAATTAAGTGTACATGATAGGAACAGTTATCAGGTGTGTCAGCTTGAATCTGAACTATATATAGTAGTACAGCTAGGCCAGTCTTTGCCACTGTTGTTTTTAATGGTTAATGCTATAAGTTGACTGATGAAGCTTTGTGTCAGTGTGTCCGTCACCCATGTCACAGGAATATTCCTTTGCTACGACAGAAGATGAGCTTGCTGATAGTGGGTCTCAGAATGTTAAAGCCAAGCAGACTGACATGAGCGTTAAATCAACCACAATATTTGTTGTCTAGTTTTAGTGTTTAGGCTTGGCGTGAACTTCCTTCCATATATTCCTGTGGCTGTTTTGGCTCTGCTATAATTCACTCTCCCATGATTTAGATGAGCGGGCCCTTGACCCTTGAGAATGATAGCGCAGTTGCCCTATGTCTCCTGCTTACACTGTGCTAATGTATTGTCATTGCTTTCTTAATTTGACTTCAGTATGTAGAGGTTGTTTGCAAGCATTTTTAGCTTCACAGATTTTTGTTTACTTCTTATATATATTATGTTATATCTAACAGATACCTTAAGGGAACATTTTATATTAGTGTGTTGTTTTAAATAAGGATGTTAGAAGAAAAATACAATATTTTAAAATAATTTGTTTCAATATCTACAGATACAAATAGATAATTATACATTTGTAACTATAAATAGCTTTTATTTGTAAGTCATCAAAATTACTTTAAAATTAACTTTTTAAACATATGGAGTAACCTAAAATGTATAGAGACACTAATTTCTACTTTGTAAATGAAATTCGGGATTAGGGTGTATTTAAGGCTATTTTTAAAATGAACTTAAGATGCCAAATTGACAGATGACCAGTGTGTCAGTCCTGTTTTGCCTGTCCTTCTTGTCACACACTGGTGGATATTTCTCCACTTTTGTTCCACTTTAATATAAAGCACACAGATGTTTCAGAACAAGACTTGACTTCTGACCTTGAGGCCATTAGGGTCAGGGTCCTAGGGGCCTGTGAAATTATCACAAGCTGAGCTAAAGTTTTTCTCCAGCACAGGAAGTAACTAGTAAGTAAGAAGTTAAAAAGGAGCTTTGTCTGAGAGACAAGATGGTCCCAGTAAGGGTCAGCTTCTGTAGTCTGCTGTCCCCGCAGGAGGCCATGCATGGGAGGAGGAGATAATGTAACCACTGGAGGATCTGTCAGCCCAGAGCAGAACTGAGAAGTCTATTTAATATAATATACCTTGCTTAGGTCTTAAAATATTAATGATTATCACTTCAACTTCCTGTGTTTGGTACTTGTGCAACAAATTATTGCAGTTATAAGGCCAGAGTATTACAGTGTCAACTGAAGAGAGAGTAGTCCCATCCTAAAGAGTAACGTGCAAGCAATAATCCTCTGCACTGATGAGGTTCGCATTGTGATAAACGTGATAGCATGTAACTTCACTATGTTTTATTTCAAAATGCTTTTTCAAAGAAAGCATTGGGACAGAAAAGAGAGCTCTGCGATCCTTATAAGCTTTTTTTTTTCTAAAGCCAACATTCTTCCTGTTATCACTAATATTCTTAAAAGCATTCATGTTGAAAATGTGTGTCATATGTAATTGTCTAACGTGGTTTCAAATTGTTAATACTAGCTATGTGAGAAAATTGTGAAGATTAATATTACAGTGTTTAAATCTTGAATTATGGTATAGTTTTCTTCTTGGTGCTGCATTATATACAAATTATTCGTGAATTCTTTAGCTTTTCAGTAATTTTAAATGTTTAAAAATTGTTCAAATTTTACACCTCCTAAAAGACTGTAGGGCCTTTGTCTCTGTGTCTCTGCCTCAGTGTATGCTATCATATTTGAGTATGTAGAAACTCTTCTCTCCATTGTCATGTTAGGTGACATTCTTCTTCTCTGAGTCATAAGTATAAAGAACACCATATGGCATATACAATTTAAAAAATAAATATAATTAATGCAATTTTGTATAATCTTTATTGTTTGAATACCACATAAGAAGACGTAATGTAGTGTATCTTGCCATTTACTGAGTTAAATTTTGTGTATTGTTCTATTTCAAATTAAATGTTTACTTTGAAGTTTGCAGAACAAAATTATAGAAGGCCAATGTTTTGTTAATTTTTGGCTTTGGAAGCGGTGAATATAATTTATTATTACATTCTGTCTTAAACTGTTGAATTGCTCCTCAAGCACAGGCAATAGTGAAAGATCTTTTTCAAAGCCAGTATTCATTTTATAGTGGTCTGTCTTGCAAAGCAGCTTTACCAGGTCTAGCTTCATAAAAACAGTGTACCACAAGAAACATACCAGAAGTGTCCTTTCCACCGCCTCTCCTCTCACTACAGAGAAACCTCAAACAACCTTCTGTGATCCTAGAAAAACAAGTATTTGTAAGACATTCAAATTTAATCTAACATGTAGTTATCAAAGAAGATACAGGCTTACCAATTGTTAATGAATTTCTGAAAATAATATATCTGTCTATATATCTTGTCTAAGCCATCATACACAAAGACGTATATTTCTGTCTTAGGCATTTACTTTTATATATGATAGAATTAATAATCTTAGTTACAATTTGCTTACCAAATTGATTTGGAAAGACATGAACAGAGTTTGCAGCCTACTTATTAAAACTTAGGCTGTTTGGCTCATTTTTCTCTAATTTTCACATTTCAATTTATGTTTTGACATGTCCATAATCTCTCTTACAGCCACTTGGTTGACATGATTCCATTGCTTCCACTGGCCATTTCACTGGGCTTTGTTCTTGTCTTTCCAGGTGCTAAGCAGTTTACAAAACCAAGTCCCACTGTCATAGTTGAGCTGGCAGTCTTTGTCAGTGTCCCTTACCTACCTGAGTTTAGTTCGCTGCTGTGCTTGATGGTTTCATCATTCAGATTGCTTCCCTCAACCGAAACGAGAACACTCATAGTTCTTATTAAGTGTACCACGTATTTGAGTCAGTACATTTCATTAGCTTCACTGAATTGTCTCAACAGACAGAATATTAGGATCTGCTCATTTTTCGTTCCTTTTCTGTGTTGTTAGTGGTTTGTTCACAGCCACCATTAAAAAACATCATTTAGAAATGTGTGAAAACAGGTCCTTTTGAAAGCACGCCTTTACCCACTTTTGATTTTGGTTTTTCCATGCTTGTCAGCACTTGATTGGCACCTCACTTGCATGTGAATTAAGGAATGAACGGAACTCTGTTTTGCTGCCATTGTTCCGTGCTGGGCGTGCTGGCCTCCAGGCTGCCTGAGCTGCTGTGAGCAGCTGGTACCAGGCTAGTTTGGGCGTGGCTGCATGCGGACACGCAGCTGCAGTCTACTCTTGGAAGACTCCTTAACTTACTTGGAACAGGATTTATACTCAGACTGAGGAGGACATGGAATTGAGCTAAAAATTTGTAGCCTTTACCTTTAGTGATATGACTATGGCTAACTATGGCCTTAAAGTAATAAC